CCCCAAAACCCCAAAACCCCAAAACCCCAATAATAACTCCTATTGTAAAATTTATAGTAAAAACATGGAGGCTCAGTGTAAAATTCTCCAAACTACTATCAGAATAGACAGCCATGAGAGTGCTTTCCGGTATGTTTAGTCTAAGACTTCTTTCCTTTGACTTGTTCCTTACAATGGCAATTCCTAACCTCAAAGTAGGCTTAATTGAACTCCTGAGACACCGAATAGAAATCCTGAAATGGTTATTCCAAAGTTTAGCAACATCGAACAATGGTAAATCTCAATTTAAGCTCTAATTCTTCTCTAGAACTAATACATTCAGAGATACCAAATTTGACGACTTTCTGAGCCATAGCTCGCAAAATGTAGAAAATACTAAAATTACACACACGATCAAGAAAATGAGGTAAAATACTATCTTAGGTCATAATTCTACCTTTTAGGCAACTCAAATTTCCAATTAATATGACTATTAAAAAGAAATCTTCTCAATTTCCCTCAAAAGAACTAAAAATAAAGACCAGAAATTAAAGCTAGCTCCAAAAAAAGACTGCCAGCACATAACGATGACTTAAAATAACATGTCCTTTCTAAACTCAAAGATCAGAAGTGCTATAAATTCCCCACTAAAAATCCCAAATAACCCAACCCCAAACCCTCCAGTGTCTAAAATCTATACCTCTCAGACCCCTCTTCACCTCACTCTAAAAGGTACATGACCGATCCTGCTCCTCTCCATTCTCTCAATTCCCCTCCTCACAGAACTTATACGTATAAATTTCTTATAGATTCTTCTAAGAGTCCAGACCGCAGCTTTGTGACGCATATAAAACCGTTGTATTCACAGACGAATTCTCCACTACTGAAGTCTTTCTTTAACTACCATTATAAATAACCAGAAGGCAAAGAAGATCAGGAAAGCTGCTAAGGGTTTGTTAGAAAATGAGCCTAAGTTTGATGATAAGATGGCTAAAAGGTATTGAGCGGCTTGAGGGTTTAGGATGGGAAAGTGGACTTTAAGGGTAGCTATCTGGATCTGTTACTTGTAAAATTTAGTTATGTATATTTTAGGGAGAATCAAAAGCAAAATATGTCAGCAATTTGAGGAAGCTTTTCAAAACCGTCGTCTCCGATTAATAATTTTCCAGGGTAAATTTTATATAAAACTTAATTTTTAAGGGATACTCAAGAAGATCTTAAAAATGGAAATGAAAGTATTATGGTTAAAGTATAAATTTTTCTCTCACAAATAGAACCCTGAATGGAAGCCTATTAAGGGTAGAATGATTAATATTAAAGCAATAAAGAAAATGCTTAACCAAAATAGACTCAAAAAAATCATCCAGAAAGCCCATTTTCATAGGGGAAGGAGTAACAAAAGTGTTGATAAACAACTCCAAAGCCAATTTCAATCAACCACGTACGCTCCCTTAATACTCTAACACTCTCTACAGAACTAATTTTGAAGAATCCTATCCCAAATTCCAAAAACTCCTCCAAACCGACTCTAAAATATCACCCAGAAGTATCCTACCCGACCTCAAATAAATCTCCCATTCTTCAATTTTTCCTTTCTAATAAGGGGTTTTGGGGTTTTGGGGTTTTGGGG